ACACCCACGTTGGGCAGCTCAGAACTGCCTGTAACTTCATCTCCAGGGAAATCCCATGCCTCTGGCCTCCGAGAGTACCTGCACTTCTGGGCACACATACACAAATTAAAAAATATAGTAAATTTTTTTTTGGTCTTTTTTGAGATAGGGTCTCCCTGTAGTCCTAGCTGTCCTGGAGCTCACTTCGTAGACCAGGCTGGCTTTGAACTCACAGAGCTCTGCCTGCTTCTGCCTTCCGGGTGCTGGGATCAAAGGTGTGCGCCACCACACCCAGCATATAGTAAATATTTTTAAAAACAAAAATTTCTTATCACATTTAATAATTAAGCATGTTTTGGTAATGCTATTAACTTTTTTTACACTTAACTGATTTATTTTTGTGTGCCCAAATGTGTGTGTGTATGTGTGTGTGCGCGCGCGTGTGGACACTTGTGTAACATGATATACATATACAAGTCAGAGGACAATTTGTCAGAGTTAGTTCTTTGCTTCTACCGTGTAGCTCCTGGGGCCTGAACCTAACTCCCTTGGTGGCAGGAGCCTTTACCTCCTGGTCCCACATTTTTTTGTTTTTGTTTTTTGTTTTTTTGAGACAGGGTCTCCCTGTTGTTCCATCTGACTTGAAACTCACTATGTAGATCTCCTGCCTCTGCCTCTCTGCTGGAATTAAAGGTGTGTGTCACCACACCCAGCTCTGGCCTCAGATTTTTATTCTTTAGTGTGTACTCTCCCCCCCTCCCACATGAGAGTGTCACAGCATATGTGGAGGCCAGATGACAACTTGTGGGAGTCAGTTCTCCCACCATGTGCATTCTGGAGATTGAATTCAGGTTTTCAGGCCAGGGAGCTTTTCCCAGATGAGCCATCTTACCTGCTCACTTTTTTCCCCTGTGAGACAGGAGCCCCACACTGGCATGGAGCACATGGTTATCCTCTTGCCTCAGACTCCCAAGTGCTAGGATTGTAGGTATGCACTGGCACTCCTTTCATTTCTTCCTCTGACCTTAGTCCAAGAATTCAAGTGCTGTATTGAATAAGCAGAGAGAGTAGACACCTTGGTTTCTTCCTGATTTTGGAGGAAATGCATTTTGTTTTCTCCCCATTTAGTGTAATGTTGGCTATAGGCTTGAATATGTAGCCGTTATCATGTTGAGGTTCTTTTTCTTCTTAGTTTGTTCAGGGATTTTATGATGCAGGGAGGCTGAACGGGTTCTAGCTGGGTGTAGTATATACCTATAATATTAGCACTTAGAAGGGTGTATTGGAGGATTGCTGCAGGTTCTGAGACTTTATAGTACCAGGTCATCCAAAGCTTTATAGCAAGGCCTTATCTCAAAACAATGGGAAGTAGGGGTAGGACTTGCTTTTTGGTCTGAAATGTGATCAGTTACAAGGAAAGCTCCATGGCTGTAATGATGGTGTATTCTACAGATGTTAGATATATTATTCTGTAGACATTTAATGCAGAAAATTTCACCTGAATGATCTATTGTTGAAAGTAGTGTATTAAAGTCACTGTTATTTGACTTGATGTTTTGAAATTCTGTGTAAGTGCCCTTTTTGTGCTGTGCCGCCTGAGGGGCATTGAGGATGGTAGTAAATAAGAATAAGGCAGACATTCCCTGTTCTTGATGGAGACTGAGGGGTGGGGTAGGCTGTAGACTAAATGGGGGAAGACTAGAGGGTCAGAGACAGTATAAAACTTTAGAAATTTGGCTGTGAATGAGAAAAACAATTGGATAATCCGTGTTCTCTCTACTCCAGTCCTTTCAAATTTTAAGCATAGCTAAAAGTGTCAGTAGAAAGATTTATTGAATATGGCACTTGTCATTCTACAAACTTTGTCACATTATGTAATCTGTCTTACATTGGGAGTTTCTTAGTGTGAAAAAAGAACTATGAAAGTCCTCATTTACAAAAATGTCTCTATAGCATTGCTGCAAGCATTACATCACTTCTCTATGTGGAGCCCCTGGCATAAGCAGTTCATAGAGAGGGGTAAAGAATGATTTGTAGGCCGGGCGTGGTGGCGCACACCTTTAATCCCAGCACTTGGGAGGCAGAGGCAGGCAGATCTCTGTGAGTTTGAGGCCAGCCTGGTCTACATAGCGAGTCCCAGGTCAGCTGGAGCTACAGGGAGACCCTGTCTCAAAAAGCCCCCCCCCCCAAAAGAATGATTTGTAAATGAGTATGCAAAATAATGTAAGTTTAGGAACACGGTAATCTTAATAGCATTTCCAGAGGTTTGGCTTTGAACAGGGAAAAGGGAAGTCAAAGGAAGAGGTATAAGGGATTAAGGGTGACTATTACTAGGCCGGGTTCTCGTTCTAAAACAACACATCAGCAATTTCAGAAGGGCAGAAAAACTAGGAAATGAACAATTACGAAGTTGGTGTCTAAATGATCTAAGAATGTTTGCTTTGTAATAGACACAGTGCAGTGGAGAGTAATACAGAAATAGACCTTGCCATGGTGAGAAAGGGAACGAACATGTTGAAATTAGAGCAGAGCATGTGAAGCTGTCCTGGAGTGCTTGCAATTTTGGTTGTTTTGTATAGTTTCCATTCCAGAATTAAAAGATTTGAGGTCTAGCACAGCCCCCTGGCATTCTGTTGAGTTATTTCTCAGAACTATGTTGCTCAGGTTTGAATTAGTTGCATAAGAGATGCAAAAGCTGTGAAGTCATCACTGGTCTTACAGTGTTTGTTTATTCAGACAGGGTCTGATCTGATGTATCCCAGGCTGGTCTCAAACTTGCTGTGTAGGATATGTATGTATGTACAAATTTTATGTGTATGAGTGTTTGCCTTGCATGTGTGTATCACGTGTATTTAAGTGTACCACATGCATGTAATGCCTGAGGAGGCCAGAAGAGGGCATTTAATCCCCTGGCAATCATCCCTGGCAGTGGGTGATTGAACTAAATCTTACTCATCTGCAAGAGCAGCTAGTGCTCTTAACCTGAGCCATCTTCCACCTCCCAAGTAATAGCATGTGCCTCCCAGGTGTGCACCTGACACCTGTGTGTGTGTGTGTGTGTTCCTGTGTGTGTCCCTGTGTGTGTGTCCCTGTGTGTGTATGTGGTGTTGAGATGGAACCCGGGGCCTTGTGCTTGCTAGGCAAGCAAGCACTTGACCTACTGAACTGTATCCCTATCCCTCTTTTGTTGCTTTGAAGATTATCCTTGTTTCTTTTAGTAAGTCTCTTGCAACTTACTATGCCTATAGACTTTGGGACTTTTTGTATATATAGATTAACATTTTCTGCAACTTACAGTGAAGGTATCAGTTGTTATTTCTTTGACTTTAAAATGTATTTCTCTCATACCAGTAATCTGTACTCACCAGACACATAACTCCTCCTTCCTTCTAACCCCATCGCTACCACCATTCTATTTCTTAACTATAAATTCAACTGCTTTATCTATTTCATGTAACCAGACTTCAGCAATAGTTAACCTATTTTATTTGGATTTTTTTCACTTAGCATAATGTCTAAGGTTTCATGTTGCAACATGGGCAAGATTTCCCAGGATTTGTGAATTGGTAGTTACTGAAAACAGGTGTTCTTCATTCTTAATTATTAAGACTTTTCCCCTTTATCCTCTTGTTTTATATTTTACAAACTTTTATGTTATTTTAGGATTATTGTCTATGTAGTTTTATATGTCACTGTATGTTTAACCAGTGAAACAACTAAATTGGAACAGTGAAACCAAACACTGCTTTGTTTGTTCTTTTAAGAAAATTGATGGCATGCTATACTGTTCACTGAATTGTAGTATATCATTTTGAGACCCTTGCCTAAAAAGAAACAAATATCTTACACTTTTTGCTTGAATGTCTTTTTTCTATGAAATCGGAAATTTTCATTTTAGTTACATTTATTTTTTATTTTATTTTATTTTTTTGTATGAGTGTATTGCCTACATGTATGTAAGTGCAAAGCCTGCAGAGGTCAGAAGAGGGTGTCGGACTCTCTAGAACTGTAGTTTTGGCCGGGTGTTAGCCACTACCATATTGGTGCTGGGAATCGAACCCAGGTCCTCTGAAAGAGCAGTCAGTGCTTTTAACTGCTGAGCCATCTCCAGCCCCCAAGTTACATTTATTTTTTGTGTGTATGTGCATGTATGTGGAAGTCCAAGGACAACTTATAGGAGTCTGTTTTCTTCTTTTGGGTTGTAGGGATCAAACTCAGTTGATCAGTCTTGGTGACAAGTGCCTTTACCTGTTGAGTCTTCTCACTGACCCAGTTGTCAATTTTTTAAAAACTCCAAGTCTGCATATTTGGATTGTGAAGTATTCTTCCCTTCCCCACCAAATAAGTAAATTCCAGTGATACTCTGTAGAGTCATCACCACCCTGTGAGTGTGAATATACCCATGTACTCCAGAGTTAATGTGTCTTAATCACATATGGCCTAATGAAAAGATTAAGACTTAAATCTTTGGTACCACTATGAAGCTAAACTGGCCTAGAACTCCCTAAGTAACCTATGCTGGCCTGGAACTTGTTCTGCCCCTGCCTCCCACATGCCATGTCCAGTTGTTTTCACTGTTGTTTTTATGGTAGCTACTCAAATACATTATGGTAGAGTGGTTGCTAAATCCTGGCCTCACTTAGGATAGGCAATGAATGAATGTTATGAATTGCTATTATTTTTTATTCTGTTTGAAAATACTTTTTTCTCAAATTAAGGCTTTTTTTTGGTTGTTTGGTAGTTTTTTTTTTTTTTTTTTTTTTTTTTTCCTTCGGTCTTTTTGAGACAGGGTCTCCCTGTAGCCCCAGCTGTCCTGGAACTCACTATGTAGACCAGGCTGGCCTTGAACTCACAGAGATCCGCCTGCCTCTGCCTCCCGAGTGCTGGGATTGAAGGCGTGTGCCACCACGCCCAGCGATTCAAATTAAGGTTTTTATATAAAAAATTTTGGTTAATGTATGAAATGTATCATTGGAATGGGCTCTGTAAGTCTTATTTTTGTTCTTTTATTCCCTGAACAGAGACTCTACAGGAGCAGGTAATTCACTGGTCCACAAGCGGTCTCCTTTACGTCGAAACCAAAAGACCCCAACATCCTTGACCAAGCTGTCTTTACAGGATGGACATAAAGCCAAAAAGCCAGCATGTAAATTTGAAGAGGGTCAGGATGTCCTAGCTAGATGGTCAGATGGCTTGTTTTATCTTGGAACTATCAAAAAGGCAAGTTACCTTAATGTATGATATCTCTGCTGTATTTGCAACAAACTTTCTAATAATTTAAATTTTATTTTTATGTTTATAATTTTAAGAGATCACCAAATTCCTCTATATTACAGATAAACATATTGAAACAGAGCTGCTTCATCATATTTGAAGACAGTTCTAAATCCTGGGTTCTCTGGAAGGACATCCAAACAGGCAGGTGCTACTGTTTCTTCTCAATGTGATTTATACTGAAGTTTGATTTTCTTCAGCATAGCACTTTCTGGTGCAAATGATACACTGTATTATAACTCAGGATCACATGTAAAGAGGAGTTTAAAAAAATACCCCATATTCCCTCTCATTATTTTGTAGACAGAGGTCTCCCATGTCACTAAAGCATTTACATGTTTCCTGTTCTCTTCTGTGCACCGAATCTGTTTTAGCTTTTCTGTTTTCTGAAGATTTTGGCAATATTTTAAAAAATATTTTATTTATTTTTATTTTATGTGTATGAGTGTATTGCCTGCACGTATATAAATGTACCCATGTCGTGCATTGCCCACGGAGGTCAGAAGATCCCCTGGAACTGGAGTTATAGACAGTTGTTAGCTGCCATGTGGGTGCTGGGAATTGAACCTGGGTCCTCCATCTCACAGAGAGCACCTGCCTCTGCCTCCTGAGTGCTGGGATTAAAGGCGTGTGCCAGCCCTTATTTTTTAATTTTTAAAAATTTATTTTATGTTTTTTAATTGTGTACTTGTGTGGTTCCCTTGGAGGCCAGACGTGTCAGATCTCCTGTAGCTAGTGTTAAAGATGGTTGTGAGCTACCCAGTGTGGGTGCTGGGAACCAAACAAGTCCTCTGCAAGAATAGAATGCACTCTTAACACTGAGCCCCACTTAACCAGCCTAATTATAGCTTTATTTTTTAATAAAACTTTTGATATTTCTTTCTTTCTCTCTTGAAGATTTATCTGAGTGTGTATGTGCCTGTGTGAGTGTATGTGCATGTGTGTGTATGTGTGGAGGCCAGAAGAAGATAACTGGTTTTCCTCTATGACTTTCTGCCTATCCTTTGAGGCAGTCTCTTGCTAGTTTCTCCCTGGGCTAGATGCCAGCAGCCCCAGTGATCCTGACCCCATGCAGCTTTTGCAGGGCTGCCTCACTTGTTATTTGGGTGCTGGGATCTTAACTCTGGTCCTTGTAGATTGTAGAGCAAACGCTCTTACTGCCATGCTATCTCTCCAGCCCAACATTTGATATTTCTAAGATGAAAAGACTTTATAAACAGCTTAATTTGTCTTATGACCATAGTAGACCATAAACAGTATAGGAATGTTCTTCTAAACTTGATGATAAAAGAGATATACTTGATTTCATAAGTAGAAGTAATTAACTCCTAGGTTTCTTAGGGTTATTTCTTAAGGTAAATACACACTGTTTAATAAATTAACACCCCCTTTTTTCTGAAGGATTGCCTTCCCCCTCATCAGTTTACATGGATATAGTGGCAGTCATTTTGGACACCTACTTCTGGCCAGGGCTTTTGACCCCTTTCTTGGGAACCACACATTTAGTTTGAGAGTTCTCAAGTTTTAGACCGCCTGGTTACTCTCTGGAGCCATAAGCTAGGAAACAATGGAGCAAGTCCCACCAAGTGTACCAGGAAGGAAAACAAAATTGAAGAGTCAAAAGACCTTAAGCAAAAAAGCAAAAATACAAAAAGCAGGCAAAACAATAATTGGTAACTTATATGTTACCTGTGTGTTACAAATAAAGAGGTAATGAAGTAAATTTGTTTTCTACTAGATGGAATATTATGCAGCTATTAGAAGTTATAATTTTGAAAGCTGGCTGCGTGAAAATGATTTTGGTATAAGAAATATTACCTTGTATTGGTGAGAGGAAGCATTGCATGGTGGAGAGAACATGGATTCTGGCACATCTGGGTTTGAATCCTAGCATTAATGCTTTTTTACTGAGGGTCCTTCGGTCAGTTCCTTTATCTGCTTAAATATTGCTTCTTCTCTATGACTGGCATATTAACTTGATAAGTTAGTTGTAGAGGCTGGGTGTGGAGGCTTACACCTCTAATTCCAGCACTTGGGTGGTTAGTCAGGAAGAGTGCCATGAGTTCCAAGGCCAGCCTGGGCCTACATCATGAGTTCCAAGGCCAGCTTGGGCTCCAGAGTGAGACCTCCTTTCAAGAAAACCACAAAGCAAAGTTAGTTATAGAATCGAAATAGTTCAAGGGCATAACATAATCATTGTTTATAACATAAAATAGTATTTATTGTTTATGTGTAAATGTATATTTGGCTATATTGAAATAGGCAAGAGGAGGATATTGGAAATGGTAATTGTGTTGGGGTGATAACATATTCTAATTTTTTGGAGTTTTTTTTAAGAATGAAAGTGTTTAAAGAAAAAGTAATTTCTTACTTAGATAACAAATATAATAATTGGCACCCCCAACTTTTGTTATAGTAAAGTTCTGTTTGAGCACATTGTTAGACACTGTATTTCCAGATTTCAGGGATGAAATAATTTTCATAATTAATGAATACAAAGAACTATTCTTGAGTCCAGGAAGAAAGGAATGTTTCCATAACTTTCTTGCCTTTTCCCTATTGTCTCATGATGTTAATGATGTAGAATGAGTGAACTCATGTACCTGAGTAGATGTGTATTCTGCATAGTTGTTCTAGTGTTCACAAATGTCCCCCAACCTCTAGCTCCATCCTTAATCCCTACCGTGGGGATATTTGAAATCACTAGTAAGGAAGTGCTGCCTGAGGACAATTGAAATTATGCCCCTTGCCCAAGAGCAGTTTGAAATATGTAGACAGGCATCTTAAGTTAGAGGTGGAAAGAGCATAGCTAGGGCGCAAAGAAGAGAGTGTTTTGTATAGAGTTACTTGCTTTGTTGGACATTATAATTTAGCTAACAAATGCTGCCCATGTGACTACCCACTGAGTCATCAAAATTTTGTGATGTTCTTCATGACCTTTTAATGTATGCTTTAAATATTTTAGGAGCCAGTGGAAGTGGGGAAATGGTCTGTACAATATGTCAAGAAGAGTATTCAGAAGCTCCCAATGAAATGGTCATTTGTGATAAGTGTGGTCAAGGTAAATACTGATTTATTTTTCATTATTCTTAGGGAAAAGTTTTTGTTACCTACTCAATTAGGCAGTTGAAGATTAATGACTGAAAATACTTCCGTTGTTAATTTGAAACTGTTAGCATAAGTTTATTCATCACTTGTAATGTGGGAAACAGTACTAAATGCCTTCTTGAAATTATGTTCTGTAGTATTTATTAATAAAATAGAATTTGCTTTATGCTCTTTTTGATATTAAGGGTATCATCAGTTGTGTCATACACCTCATATTGATTCGAGTGTGATTGATTCAGATGAAAAATGGCTCTGTCGACAGTGTGTTTTTGCAACAACAACAAAGGTATCTTTTAAAAGTATTTTGGGCTAAAGCCCTAAATGGAATTTGTAAGGCCCTATCATTGTAATGATTGTATACCTTGAGAAGTTTGTTTGAATGAAATTAGCAGCTAATACTGGTTAGAAAGAATTACTGTTTATTGTTTGACTAATGATTCTTAAATGACTTTCAGTTATTTTTTTATGTGAGAGTGGTGTGGGAATTGGGGTAATATTGAAAGACAACAGAATAAATAGATTATTAATCAGACAAAGCAGCGTGATAAGAAGAAATTTAGAAAGGAAATTATTTCAGAAGTGTCAGAAGTGTTTTTGAATTAGAGAATTATAAATTAGAAAATTTTTGTTTAAAAAATTTGACCTTCACTCTTTCAAATGTTTTCCCTCAAATATATAGAGGGGTGGTGCGCTTAAGAAAGGACCAAATGCCAAAGCATTGCAAGTCATGAAGCAGACATTACCCTATAGTGTGGCAGACCTTGAATGGGATGCAGGTCATAAAACCAATGTCCAGCAGTGTTACTGCTACTGTGGAGGCCCTGGAGAGTAAGTAAATGCAGTTATTTAATTCCCTTTTAACTAATTTTTATTTACTTACAATATGTTATTTTTTAAACATTCTGTTTTGAAGACCTCTTTTTCTTATTGTTGTTTGAGACAGGCTCTCACTATATATATTCTACTAGGCTGACCTCAAACTCCTGAGTACTGGGATTATAGGTATTCACCATAGGCTTGTTTTGTCTTATTGTTTTGGATGGTGGTATAGGAATGACAGTGAATTGCATATGCATGAAATGATTTGTTCAAAGAAAAACACTGCTGGGAGAAAATACCATTTTCCCTCTCTTCCCTACCTCTTCCCGTCCTATAACTTGTTTTTGCTCATGTCCATGTATTTTAAAAACATCTTAGCTGGCGCTGGAGAGATGGCTCAGCGCTTAAGAGCATTGACTGCTCTTGAGGACCCGGATTCGATTCCCCGCACCCACATGGTGGCTATAAATTGTCCTTCACTCCAGTTCCAGGGAAATCTGAAGCCCTCTTCTGACCTCCGCAGCATTGCACAACACAGGTGCACTCATATACATGCAGGCAATACATTCATACACATAAAATAAAAATAATAAATATTTTAAAAAAATCTTAGCAAAAGACTGGCTATTCTGAAAAAATTTGAATAAATTGTCAATATTCATATACCTTTAAACTATAAAGGGAAAATATGTAATGTAGAAGTCCATTTGTCAAGTCTGAAGTTGGCTCAAGTTTTGTTGGATGTCATATTTAATATAATTGCCCATTTAGAAATTGGAATACAGTAGGCTAGGCGTGGTGAGGCACGGCCTTTAATCCCAGCACTAGGGAGGCAGAGGCAGGTGAATCTTTGTGACTTCTAGGCCAGTTGGGGCTACAAGGAGACCCTGTCTCAAAAAGACAAAAAAAAAAAAAAAAAAAAAAAAAAAAGAAATTGGAATATGGGTCTGGAGAGATGACTCAGTGATTAAGAGTACTGGCTGTTCTTCCAGAGGACCTGGGTTTGAATCCTAGCATTCACATGGCTGCTAACAACAGGACCCAACACCCTCTTCTGATCTCTGCAGGCATTGCATGACACGGGTGCACTTACCTACATGCATGCAATACACTCATACACTAAAAATAATAAATAAAATATTAAAAAAAAAAACACATATAAGGGCTGGCCAGATGGCTCATGAAGTAATGGCACTTGCCTTATGCCAATGATAAGCTGAGTTTGAATCCCAGGACTCACATAGTGGAAGAGAGAATTGATTCCTGCAGCTTGTCCCTGACTCTCCATGCATATATGTATACACACAGACAGAGACACATAAATAAGTGTAATAAACTTTTTTTTTTAAACATCATACTCTGGAGGCACGATGCCAGCCTGGTCTACATAGTAAATTCTGGGTCATCAGGGACACAAAGTTAGACCTTGTCTTAAAAAAGAAAATGAAATTAAAACTTACATATAAGAGATGCAGTAAATATGCATAGAGCTCAATCTTTTTCCATATTCTAGCATTTTATTTAAAGTACTAGCCAATATATAATCTCATAGACATTGGTGTTTGAAGAAGATGAGCATTGTAATAAGGAGAGCTCTGTCTGCTGTTACAACTACGTTAGCATCTGCAGGTAGCAGAATAGAATATCTTGAATGTAGTTAGTATTCACAGTCATTGGACAAATGAATCACTATTCAATAGCAGTCATTTTTGTCTTTGCCCATGTGTAGTTTATAAGTAAAGTGAGGCCCATTGGTTAGATGAAAAGACATTACTTAGAAATGTCTTACTATTTTCAGGTAAGGATATCATTGTTACAGAACCATTTAGTGAGGAAAGAGTATCTTGAGGTGAAGATGCAGTTCTGCATTTTCAGCTATCTAAATCATCTTTAGACATGATCACTGGCGAAGATTTAAACCTGTCACAAGGCTCTTATACTTGATGGAGACATTGATTAAATTTCTAATTATGTTAACCAAGTTTATTAAACCACTTCTTTTTCATTATAGTAAGTAGAATAATAGAAGAGAAAATGTATATAGTAGAATTTTCATAATCAGAAAGCTCCCTAAGGCCATTTGGTATTTGGCCTACACATTGGTACCTCTGAGTCTATAAAGAATTGAGTAGGGGGGAGGGTGGAATCTCAGATTTGGAACCAGGTCTGGCGGCATATACCTGCAGTCCTCATTACTCAGGAGGCTGAGGCAGGTTGATTGCTTCAGCCCAGGAGTTTGGGGCTCTCTTGTGCAGCACAGTAAGAATCCAAATTAAAAAATTAAAATTTAGAGAGCTGGACATGGTTGTGATCAGAAATTCAGGGCCAGCTGCAGCTGCACGGCACTCTTAAGAAAACCCAAAGAGAACTGAGAATGTAGCTCAGTAGAGTGCATGCCTAGCAGGTTGAAGCCCTCCCTGGGTTTGATCTCTAGTACCTCGTAAACTGGGTGGGATAGTAATTCCAGTGCTAGGGAGGGAGGAGCAAGCTCTTAAGGTCAATGTCATCTTCAAAGTTCAAGGTCATCATCAGTTTGAAGCTAACCTGGGATTTGGAGACTCTCAAAAAAGAAAAACAACAGTAGGCAAAACAGACAACACACCCTCACCTGGGTGTGCAGTTCATTGGTAGACTGTATGCTTGGATATACAAAGCTCTGGGTTCAGTCTTAACATAAAAACAACCCCTGAAGCTTTTGAATGGAGAGGGATCTTGGGCATTATTGACTCAAAATAATAATTAGGCTTTTTGAGAAAAGATAAATGCCCATACTAGAAGAGGAAGGATGAAATAGTTGATATGAAAAACCTTTATGGGGAAAAAATATAAAATTACGTATAAGAAATGTAATGCTTTTATCAGAAGTGTTTTGTGAATAATGTTATTTTAGAAAAATGAACCTTTTATCTCATTGATAGTATGTTGGCACACACCTATAATCTCAGCACCAGAGATTCCTATGGTATGGGGAAGATTGTGAGTTGGAGGCCTGTCTTGGGCTACATAGTCATGAGCTACTGTTTAGAAAAGTAGTGATTTTAGTCTTTTTCTTTTTTTCCTTACAGCTGGTATTTAAAGATGCTGCAGTGCTGCAAATGTAAGCAGTGGTTTCACGAGGCTTGTGTGCAATGCCTTCAAAAGCCAATGCTGTTTGGAGATAGGTAAGAGGGGCACTTGCACTTATTGATTCGTTTGGTTTTGTGACCTTATAATTGTGGTTCTTCGGCAGTTTCAGATTTCCAAAAAATTTAACAATGATGTGTAAAGAGATCAACTCAGAAAATAATTGAATAATAAACATGTTTACATATCATTTTTATACTTTCAGATATTATTCTAGAAAGCTTTTAAGTATTATCTCAGTGTTATATTTATTTCTGTCACTCCAGGGTTCTCTAAAACTATTTTCAGTGGCACCTTTCTTTCAAGAATCTCAAAGGAGCTGGGTGTGTTGGCATAGACCTTTAATCCCCTCCCAGCACTCTGGAGGCAAAAGCAGGTGAATCTGTCAGTTTGGGGCCAGCCTGGTTTAAATAGGGAGCTCTAGGACAGCTGAGTTGACATAGTGAGACCCTGTCTCAAAACAAACGAAAAACAGTGGAAGGAATCCTCTGATAGAGAATTGGAAAAGGCTATAGGACCTTATTATAAACAATTTATATCTTAGGTTTAAATAATTTCTAAAAGCTGGACATAATGTGCTTTCTGTGACAGACTATTTGGATTGCAAAATGAGCACTAGGAAGAAAAATTGGGAGACAGAATAGTAAATTTGGCATTGAAAATACCTTGGCTTAAATCTTGGTTTCTGTAAGAATTGCTGTCTTTTTGACCTTGGTCTCCTTTGAGTTTATCTTGCAGGTTACTTTGAGCATTGAATGAAACAATGCTTATAGAAGTAGCCACCACAGATTTTGGTTCACATAAACCATTAGTAAATTGTAGGTACTTATGAATCTGTTTGAACTTCAGAGTTCTCTAATGGTTAAAGAAATTGTCCTTAATCCCCCAGATAGGAGTTATGTGCCATTATTAATTATTATTGGAAAATAAATTCCTGAAATCGTGGTGCCATAATTGAAATTACATAGATTTATCAGTTCTAACATTAACTAACATTTATTTACTGTCTATTTGTTATAATTGTTATGTAGTTTATATCTTGATTACTCACTATAAAACATTTCCTTTTTTTTTTTTTTTTTTTTAGGTTTTATCCTCCCCCCGTAGTCCCAGCTGGCCAGGCTGGCCTCCCGAGTGTTGGGATTAAAGGCCTACCACACCTGGCATATGTGTCATTTTTATTTTTTTTAATTTTTGTCTTTTTTTTTTTGGTATTTTTGAGACAAGGTCTCTCTGGAGCACTTTGTTCTTCTTTTTGCCTGACTTTATTTCTTTTAGTAACATGCAAGGCCTATGCTATCTACCAAGGATTCTCTGTTTTAATTGTTAAATAAGCCATTCATTATCGAATGATAATACACATAGCTTCCAAATATTTTTTAGACTTTAAATTCTTATTTGTTGTTTTCAGGGTTTTTTTTGCCTTCAGAGTAACACAAGAGACATAGATTAAAAAAAAATATGACAGTTTCTGCTTCATTGTAGTAATTATTTGTGGGAAGTGTGAGGGATTTTAGCGATCTAATACTTATACTAAGTATTTATAAATTTTTATTGTGTTTTGCATATTTTAGGAACAGATGAAGTTTTAACTTACCAATCAGATGAAATAGGGCCCTGTAAAGTATAGCCTGCTCTGTAGCTTACTTGTAGTAAAATATAGAAGTTGTAATTATAAGTAATTTTCTCTTATAGTTACATCTCCTTTGAATGCATTTAGGAAATAATTTTGGATACATTTTAGTATATATAATTATTTCAGATAAGTAAATGTTAAGCTAATGTTCTCCAGTTTCTTCATATATAATGATTTACTGTATTGTGAATATGACTTAGGCTATTGATCTCCTATCCAGCTAAATACTTTACTTTGGTTTATTATACTGGTTTTATAAAGAAACTGATTTCTTAACAATAATCAAAAACACTGTTTTCGTATATTTTGATTATTTTTGGATTCCAGGGTAGATATAGCACACCTATGCCTTTACAACCTAAGTGTTATTCACAAGAAGAAATACTTTGATTCTGAACTTGAGCTTATGACATACATTAATGAAAACTGGGATAGATTGCACCCTGGAGAGGTAGGTGGTCTTAGAGCTGCTTGATGTCTTTTTGTTTTGTTTTCTTTTTGTGAAAAGCAAACAAGACACATAATAAATCAGACAGCTAAACTTTGCTTTTCTTTTTAGTTCTGGGCAAGAATGAATTTTGGTAAAGGTATCAGAACTAGTTCTCTTATTGTCTTGGGCTCCTTGCCTAGGAAAATTTATAGGTGGAGGAAGTAAATTATTTAATTCTTCTAATATTCTGAACTAAGAATCATCATAGTTTAAGGTAGAATGGTGAGGAAAATTCTTTGTTTTGGGTATCTTACATTTATCTTCCCTTTTTTCGACATTGTCTGTAAACTTTGAGATGTGACCAGTATTCTCTTCTCTTACTGGTGTTCTCTCTTGAATCTCTGACTTGTATGTAGTTCTGGTGGGGTCCAGTTGTGTTTGAATAATGAATTAGGAAGTGACTCATTCTAAATGTCTCATTTGTGACCTCCCTTGCTGGATGTGGTTACATATGCCTGTATTCCTAACTGAGGGAGACAGAGACAGGAAGATTGCCACAAGCTCAGTGCCAGTCTGGCCTTCAGAGTGAGACCCTATCTTAAAAAGGAAAAAAAAAAAAAAAGATATAAGCAGTGTATGTTCATTGAGACATACTTTGAAACTATTAAATAGCACAGAAAATTGAGTTTACTGGTTGCCTTATTTTTACTCTTTATTTAGGATTATTAAAATGTGGATTATTGGGCTAGTGATATGGCTCAGTGGGTAAAGGCACTTACTATGAAAGCTTTACAAAATGAGTTCAGTCCCTGGAACCCATGTAAAGGGAAGGAGAGAACCAACTCCACAGAATTGTCTCTGCCTGCTACATGCACATTATGCACATACTCCAGGATAATAATAAGTAAAAATTTGAAAAATACAGATTTGTAGCTTAGGTGAAAACCAGTTTTTTTCCCTATAGTGTGTGGCATTAAGGCTGGGCATGGCAGCTCACGTCTTTGATCCCAGTTCTCTGGAGGCAGAAACAGTGGATCTCTATGAGTTCAAGGTCAGGTTGGTTTACATAGTTCCAGGCCAGCCAGGGCTACAGAAAATCAATAATATAATAATAATAATAATAATAACAACAACAACAACAACAACAATAGAATTGTAAGTTACAGATTTTTTTTTAAATTACTGTATTAGTCACGTTTCTGTTGCTGTGATAGAAATACTGACCAAAGCAACTTATAGAAGGAAGCGTTTATTTGAGCTTATGGTTCCAGGGGAATTACAGTCCATCATGGTGGGGAGGCATCGTGGCAGTGGCTGGAGCAGAAGCAGAAGCTAGGCTCTACATCTTCAAGTAGGCACAGGAAGCAAGAGAGCAACTGGAGATCTGGCAAGGCTTGAGAACTCTCTAAGCCCACCCCCAGTGACGTGTTTCCTCCAGGATAGCCATACCTTCTAAGACCTCCCAAAACAGAACCATCATCTGGGGATAAATACTTGGAGCCTATGGGGGACATTTTCATCCAAACCACTACATTCCACCCCTGACCCCCATAGGCTCATGAGTCATTATCAGTCTCAACACAATTCAAAAGCCCACAGTCCAAAGTCTCTTCTGAGACTCAGGTAAATATCTTTAACTGTAAACCTCTATAAAATCAAAAGGCAAATTACATACTCCCAACATAGAGTGGAACTAAATACATGTGACCATTCCTAAAGGGAGGAATGGAGGCATAGTAAGGAAATACTGGACCAAAACAACACAAAAAACCAGCATGGCAAACACTAAATCCAGTAGCTCCATGTTCAACTTCTGGGACTTTACTTCCAAAGGGTTTAGACGACTCAGCCTCTCTAGCTTTGCTGCTTGCAACACACATCTCTCTCTTGGGCTGATACCACTCCCTGTGTGCAGACCTTCTTGGCAGATGCCTCACAGCTCCGCCATCACGGACGTCTTCTTGGGGTCTCCATTGCCAGCCAGGCTTCACTTTCACAGCTTCACGCAGTAGCCTATTAGGGCCTTCTCTATGCAGGAGAATTCCTGCTGCATGCTGCCTGGCCTCGGCAGGTCTCTGAAACCGTGGAGGAAGAATTGATGACCCCTTCACTCTTTAATCTTTCATACCTCTAAAGCTAGCACCATGTGAATGACACTGCCACATTTGACTGCAAGTTTTTGATGGACTCCAGCGTGCTTTATCCATTTTAGAAGCTTTTCAGTGGCCCCTGCAGCATTTTGCTTTCACAAATTGGAGGATGAACTGGGTGTGGTTTTGCCCTGGAGGCACTCTCTCCATTGTTTAAGTTTGAATCTTTAGGCCCTTCCTTAATCACTTTAATCTCCTTGTCAAAGGGATCCTTTCCAGCACATGCCAGGGCTCCAACATTTATCTTCCTAATGCTCTTTTTCAGTCCAAACTGTATTTCTTTCTGCCCCATTTGCTCTTTTTTTTTGCTGCAGATCTAAATAATATTCACATTAAGAGCTACACTACCATTTCTACATTAGGCTGTCTTGAAATTTCTTCCACCAGAGAAATTAGTCCATTGCTTTTCAACTTAGCCCCAGGCAAGTTTTTAGGTTGAGAGCAGACTCCAGCCAGACTCTTTGCCAAAATATCCCAAGTGCTGCTTAAGTCCTTATTTTCCTCTGGAACTACATTGTTCTCAGCACTACTTTCTTCCAGGTACCTACTAGAATGGCCTATTAAGCTCTGCTTACAGCAATCAACTACTTTTCTAGTCTAAACTTCCAAAGTCTTCCACATTCCTCCAAAACCCCACATGGTCAGGTTCTTCAGAGTCAACACCCCACTCTTGGTACCAATTTCTCTCCCAGTTTGTTTCTCCATTGCTGTGACAAAATAGTCTTGGAGAGGAAAGGGTTTTTTCGGCTTACATCTCCTGAGTCACAGTTCATCAGCGAGCCCAAGGTAGGAACTCAGGCCTGGAACCTGGAGGCAGGAGCTGAAACTCAGGCCATGGAGGAGTGCTGTTTACTTGCTTGCTCCCTTGGCCCCTGCTCAACCTGCTTTCTTATGCAACACAGGCCCAACTGCCTGGGGGTGGCACCACGCACAGTGGGTCCCACATCACTCAGCAATCAAGAAGATGCCCCACAGACATGGCCACAGGCCAGTTCAATGGAGGCAATTCCCTGGTTGAGTACCCTCAACCCAGGTGTGTCAAGTTGACATTAAAGCTATCCAGCACAGTTGACCCCTTGTCAACTTGACACACAAACATCACTATTAAACCATAACCTTTCCAATTCTTGTCCCCAGGGTATGATGTTAATATCACAACATAAGACAGTACAGCCTTAAAAGCCCCACAGTCCTTAAAAAATCCAAACACTTAAAAGTCCACAGTCTCTTTTAAAAGTCTCTTCTCTTAACTGGGGATTCCTGTAAAATCCAAAACAAGTACTGTCTTATTTCAAAGGGAAGAATCAGCCACACCTAAGCAAAACCAAAGTCCAGCAAAGTAGCTCAAGGCTGGACATTCTGGGATTCATTCACAATCTTCTAGGCTCCAAAGTGTTTTGGCAGCTCCACCTCTGATTCTGCTGTCCACAGCACACACAAAGCTTGTCTCACAGACCCAGGACGGCTTCATTCCATACCTGCCAGTGCCCTTGGTGGTCGTCCCATGGTCCCGGCATCTCCAAAAAGCTGGGGTCTCCACTGAAACTGAGGCTACACCTTCATGGCCTCTTCTTGCCTCTTGGGGTGCAAAGCCTCAGATTCTCTCCATGACCCCTTCAATCCTGGGATCTTCACTGCAACTGAAGCTGTACTTTTACCTATGGCCTTTCCTGGCCTCTCACAGTGCCAAGACTCAGTTGCTCTCTGTGACCCTTTCATGCTGTCAACACCAGAACCATGCAGGAGACTCTTACACATTTCCAAGTCCTGCTTTCAGCTAGAGATGGAGGCTTAGGGCCCTTCCTGACCACAGCTTCTGGGTGGGGACCTTGAGGAACTACTTCCCAAAAGATTTCACCATGGTGATTTGTTACTTACAGCTAATTTTTTAGCCCCAGCTATCCATCCCAATAAAGCAACTGTTTTACTTCAGGTTCTGGTCACTTCTTAATCACACCTGATTCTTCATCCTCAGCCGACCAGAACCCACAGGTTCCCAATTCAAAATATCAGGCAAACAGCCCTGATATTCTCTGCTTCCCTTTGAAACTTCACAAGCCAGGCCTCCATTGTTCACAACTTTTTCAGTATAACTGTTCCAAACTCCACAGCAACAAACTCAACAGCACTCAATGGCTTTTACAGCCCAAAGTTCCAAACGCTTCCCCAATCCTCCTAAAAAACACCAAGGTCAGTCTGTCACAGCATTGCCCCACTCTCTGGCACCAATTATTATTATTATTATTATTATTATTATTATTATTATTTTTGGTCTTTCTGAGATAGGGTCTCTCTGTTGCCACAGCTGGTCTGGAAACTTGCTATGGAGGCCAGGCTGGCCTCAGTCTTACAGAGATCCACCCGCCTCTGCCTCCCAAGTGCTGGAATTAAAGGTGTGCGCCATTGTGCCTGGCTAAGTCATAGAATTTTGAGGTAAAATTGTGCTGATTCAAATTTTAGGAAGTATTTCTGCATTTGTAGTTTTTAGGCTTGGATTTATAAAGCTTATATTAAATAGGATATCACAGATGGAGCATTAGGAATAGCATAATGCACACATACATAGTCGGTACACCAGATGCATAAAATCAAATGAGTATCTGTTCATCATAAATAGTTAAAATCTAGGATATTATTGAAATTCAATTGATATAAGATGTTTTCAGAGTTAGACATTGAACTTTAATAATAATTCTGGGCTGGTGAGATGGCTCAGAAGGCAAAGGCACTTGCCTTGCTAGTGTAGCAACCTGAGTTCAATCCCTAGAACCCACATGAAGGTGGAAAGCTAGAACTCCATGAAATTGTTCTCTGACGTGCACATGCTCTGGCACATGAGGTCCCCCTTCATTCACACACACTAAAAACAAG